GCACGAGGGTTCCTTTTTCTCCGCAACCTTGCCAACACTTGTCATTTGTTGATTTGTTGATGTTGGCCATTCTGACAGATGTGAGATGGTACCACATTGTTGTTTTGATTTGCATCTCTCGGATAATTAGTGACTTTGAGCATATTTTCATGTGCCTCTTGGCCTTCCTTCTGTCTTCTTTTGAAAATATTCTATTTAGGTCCATTGCCCATTTTTAAATTGGATTATTCATTTTCCTTTTATTAAGTTGTATAAGCTGTCTGTAGATGTTGGAGATTAAACCTTTATCAGTGATAACATTTGCAAATATGTTTTCCCATACAGTGGGCTTTCTTGTTGTTTTGTTGATGATTTCTTTTGCTGTAAAAAAGCTTTTTATTTTGATGTACTCCCATTTGTTTATTTTCTCTTTAGCTTCCATTGCCCTATGGGCAGTATCAGTGAAGAAGTTCTTTTGGCATATGTCTGAGATTTTGCTTACTGTGGATGCCTCTAGTATTTTTATGGTTTCCCATCTTATGTTTAAGTCCTGTATCCATTTTGAGTTTATTTTTGTATATTGTATAAGTTTCATTCTTTTGCATGTATCTGTCCAATTTTCTCAATACCATTTATTGAAGAGACTGTCTTGACTCCATTGTATATTCGTGCCTCCTTTATCAAATATTAATTGAGCATAGTGATTTGGGTTGATATCTGGGTTCTCGATTCTATTCCATTGATCTATATGTCTGTTCTTGTGCCAGTACCAGGCTGTTTTGAGAACAGTGGCTTTGTAATACAGCTTGAAATCTGGTATTGAGATCCCTCCTACTTTACTCTTCTTTCTCAGGATTGCTGTGGCTATTTGGGGTCTTTTATTGTTCCAAATGAACTTTTGGAGAGTTCTTTCTAGGTCAGTGAAATATGCTGTTGGTATTTTAATGGGGAGTGCATTGAACCTATAGATTGCTTTGGGAAGTATGGACATTTTGATGATGTTGATTCTACTAATCCATGAATATGGTATGTTCTTCCATCTGTTTACATCTTCCTCTATCTCTTTTTTCAGTGTCGTGTAGTTTTCCGCATATAGGTCCTTTACGTTCTTAGTTGAGTTTATTCCTAGGTATCTTAATTTTTTTTGTGCAATGGTAAATGGAATTGCTTTTTTAGTCTCTGTTTCTGTAACTTCACTGTTGGTGTATAGAAATGCCATAGATTTTTTGGCATTAATTTTGTATCCTGCTACATTGCCAAATTCATTTATTAAGTCAATTAGTTTTTTAATGGAGTCTTTTGGGTTTTTTATGTACAATATCATGTCATCTGCAATTAAGGATAACTTTACTTCTTCTTTTCCAATTTGGATGCCTTTTATTTCCTCTTCTTGTCTAATTGCAATGGCTAGTACTTCCAGTACTATGTCAAACAGGAGTGGCGAGAGTGGGCATCCCTGTTTTGTTCCTGTTCTTAGAGGGAATGGTTTTAGTTTTTGCCCATTGAGTATGATGTTGGCTGTGGGTTTATCATATATAGCTTTTATTATGTTGAGGTATGATCCTTGTACTCCCACCTTGTTGAGAGTTTTTATCAGGAAAGGGCGTTGGATTTTATCAAATGCTTTTTCTGCATCAATTAATATGACTATATGATTTTTATCTTTCAATTTGTTTATGTGATGTATCACGTTTATTGATTTGCGGATATTGTACCATCCTTGCATTCCTGGAATAAATCCTACTTTTACCTAAACAATTTTTTGTTTTCCTTGTATTTGAACTTTATAAAATGGCATCTAATACTTGGCTTTAAAATATATATATTTTAAAATATATATATATATATATATATATATATATATATATATATATATATATATATATATATTATTGATTTTTTTACAGAGAGGAATAGAGTTAGAAACATCGAAGGAATAGAAACATCAATCAGCTGCTTCCTGCACACCTCTTACTGAGGATGTGCCCACAACCAAGGTACATGTCCTTGATCAGAATTGAACCTGGGACCTTTCAGTCCGCAGGCTGATTTCTATCCACTGAGCCAAACTGGTGAGGGCTAGTACTTGGCTTTTTTTTTTTTTTTTAAACTCAGCAATTGTTTCCAAATTATATCCATGTTCTTATGTGTATTCATTCATTTATTTTGCTTGATTATATGGCTGTGTTATAATTTAATTATCCATTTCCTATACAAACACATTTGGGCTGTTTCTACTTTTTTGCTGTTACTAACAGTGCTGCTGTGAATATTATTTTATAGTTTCCTGGACACATAAGCAAGAGGTTAGGAGTGGAAATTGCTGATCATAAGGTCTGTATGTTGACCTTTACAAGATTTTGCCAAATTGCTTCTCCAAGTGGCTATACCAATTTACACTCATGACAATAATGTGTAAGAATTCTTACTGAAGCATATACACTCCAGAATTTGGTATTCCCAGACTTAATTTTGTCAATTTACTGAATGAAAATAACAGTATCCCAACATAGCCTTTTTTTGTATGGCTCAGATTTTTGTATGCTCAGTGAGACAGAGCATCCTTTTATATGTTTATTAGTCATGGCATTTCCTCCGCCACATTGGAATTTCTTATCCAATTTTCCTTTTAAATAATCTGTCAACCACATAATCATCTGCCATTTATTTACATTCTCTCGTGGAAGACATTCATTTTTATGATTACAGATGATTTTACATTTGCCACTTTTATAACTCCTATTTTCTCTTTTAGGGTACTTAGGGGACGCTGATAAGTCTAACTGCAATGCATTTATACACCACCTATTAGCTGGATGGGTTTGGGTAATTGTTCACATAATGACTAATCCTATCCTGATCAGATTAAGGTTCTTGGTCTTTGTCATTTTACCAGGATGTATCTTATCATTAGCCTTTAGTCTTAAAAGTTTTATTTCCTTTCCTCTAGTTGGTGACATCTGGAAGGCGCGATCCTATCTTCCAATCTTTAAACCACTATTCCACGTGAAGTATACCCCACTAAAACAGAAACTGCCTCTATAGTAGTCAAGAGATTACTCCAGGAGATTATTCCTAGATTGGGCTGCCAGTATCAGATAACAGCCCCACCTTGGTAGCTAAGGTATCTCAGAGTATAGCTCTAGCCTTAGGACAGGTAAAGTGAGACTCTGGAAAAAGGGTTTAACTAAAAGTGTCCTAGAATTGGTGAAAATTGGACCAACCCCCTGTCCTTTGCCCTCTTATGGGCCAGGTATACCCCTTACTGGGACAAGTTGCTCCTTTTTTGGGAGGGGATCATGTATGGTAACCATTCCCTTGCTCAAGTTCTTACAGGTTCTGCAGTTTGCTTGTTCCAGTTGCACTGCCAGTGCCCACCGCAGACCCTGTAGCCCAGGAACTCAATGTGGGTAAAGAAATTCACTGCCTAAAGACTCAAAGAGACACTGCACTGTTATCCTGAGCACACCCACTGCTGTTGAAGTAGATGGCACCCAGACCTGGCTACACCACTCCCAGCTCCTGCGTGGCCTGGATCCTGGCAACTACAGGCCAGGAGAAGAACTGATGCTTACAGGAGGGGAACTGGACTTCAGTGAGGACAATACTGATGGGAACTGAGGTACTAAGGGTCTTGGTAACTGTATTTGTTGTTTATGCTGAAAGGAAGTAGGCTGAGTCAATGATTTGACTCAGGCACATTAGACAAGGAGGGAATGAGAGGGCAGGATGGGGCAAGGATGGGCTCCTGACTCCACTGTGGGGCAGGGCAGAGTTAACCTCCATTCTGTAATTGAACCCTAGCCCTCACCCAACCAATCAGGGTTAGCTGAGGCAGTGACCTCACCACTGACCGGAGTAAAACCCCTGGACTGGGCGAAATTCACCCTCTTCCGCCATGCTGCCGGTGTGAGTGGGACAGAGCCTATGCTAGCATGGAAAAGGCTCTTTTGTTTATTGCATCGGAGTCGGCTCCCTGGTGGTCCTTGGGGATCACAAAGTCTGGGCGTAACACAAGCATAGTGCTGGCCACCTTGCGTGTTTTTAATACTTCTTTTTCCCTAAAAATTTTACTGCTGTGTAAAAAGACCAGCTTGAAAATATTGTCCAAACTTACCTTACAGCTGGCTGCAGCACTTGGCGCCCATCAGGTTTTCCTTGCCCATCTCTGGCACTACACCTTGAAAGTGCGACAAGAAGCACTGTAGGGCCCTAACTGGTTTGGCTTAGTGGATAGAGCGCCAGCCTGTGGACTGAAGGGTCCCAGGTTCTACTGGGGTCAAGGGCATATGCCTGGGGCGCGGAGGGGGGAGTAGGGGAGGGGAGAGGAAGGGAGAGTTGCACAATGGAAGGGAGTGAGGGAGTCTATTCTAAACTCTTAGGACAAGCAGGGTCTTTCAGTGGGCAAGCCCTTAGAACAATCATTTTCTTTACTCACATCCTAGAAAAACAGCAGTACCAACATCTACAACAAAGACCCAACATTCATGGTCATGAGCTCTCGTGCACCTTTTATAAGAGCAAAAACTGCATACGCGCAGGACGCCCAGACATTGACACACACAAGAAAACACAGCCACGTGCTGGGGCCCGGTCGCGCGGCTCCGGGGCTTTGAAACTGAACAGAGCAAAACTGTCTTCGCATCCGCTTTCAAACTTTCGAATAACTGCAAGCAAATAACTGCAAGCAAAAATAAAACCTAAAGCTTCAAAACAATCAATTAAAAATACAGTTCCTTTTTTTGCTTATGCGTCTTCTTGTCTTTGTGCTTTTATGGGGGTTTATTTTGAATCTCCAAATCGAGCCTGCCCAGGACACAGACGTGGAAACGGCGACGAGTTGGGCGCGGCTGCCCGGGGGGCGGGGCGGGGTTCTGACGCCATCGCTGCGGGGCGGAGGCGGCGCAGTCTGAGGCGCGGTGGTGCGGGCTGCCGCCTCGGACCCCTGGCTCAGAGACGGCGCGTCTCTGCCTCCGGGAGCTTTCCCCTCGTGGTCGGCCCTCGGCGAGTCCCGCGTGGAGATGGCAGACGACCTTGGAGACGACTGGTGGGAGAACCAGCCGGCGGGAGCCGCCAGCAGCCCAGGTACCCGCTCTGCCCGCGCTCCTGCGGGGCCTCCCCCGCCCGAGCCCCTCCGCGCGCCCCGCCCGCCCCCCCCCGCCCCCTCGGCCGTCGCCGGTCCCGACACGGGTTCGGTCCAGCTGTGGGGCGTCCAGCTGCGGGGCGCACAGCCCGGGAGCGCGCGGGCACCGCTGGGAGGTGGTGCTGGGACTCACCAACACGTGGAACAGATGAGAGTGACATTAACTCCCATCGGCCCGCCAGCCAGGAAGGACCCTTTTCCAAGCTCTGTTTGTTTTTTGTGTGTGTGTGTGTGTGTGTTTTTTTTGTAGGGTTCCTCCCCACCCCCCTTATTTCTTAGTGCAGCGTTCCCAAACTTCTCTCAGGATGAGAGTCACCTGGTGGAGTTGTTAAACTACAGATTCCTGAATCCCAACTAAGAAGTGCTAAACTAGAATTTTTGGGTACGTAAAATTGTATACTTACCTAGTGCTCTAAGACTGTATTTTAACAACTCCACCAGGTGATTCTCATCATGAGAGAAGTTTGGGAAACACTGTCTTAGTGGATAAGACAGGTTTCGTGAAGACACAGTTTGGGTTGTAGTGGTTAAGAATAGGTTCAGACTGCTTCCCTTCAAACCGCGACTCCAGCCTCATAATACGGCTCCCCCCCCACCCCCCCACCTCCTCCATCTCAAAAAAAAAAAAAAAAATAGGATAATAACAGTGCCAGTTTCATAAGGTTGTTGTGAAGGTTAAGTGAAGATCGTATAAACGATGCACTGTAGCACAGTGCTTGGCACATGATAAGGGTGGGGTAAATATAAACTGGAGTTTTCTCGCTCTTGCCGTCGTAATGATGCAATTTGGACTCTTGGAGCCCAAAGGAGGCTCGGAGAACATCCTTTGAACTCATTTTGCAGTTGAGGAAAGTGAGATCTAAAGATGTAAAGGAATTTGACAAGTGCACATGACTAGTTGGAGTCAGAAACAAGACTGGAATTAAACTCACACAATTCATACGGTGTTTACTATGCTCTGTGTACCCACTGCAAATGCCCTGGGCATTTTATCCTAGAATAGATAGCAGGAAGTAACTTCTCACCATAGATCTGGCAATGAACTTTTCAAGTCCCAGAAGGCTTAATTATGTTCTTTGTCCTTCTTCAAAGTTGGCCGGCATTTCTACTTAGCTTCTGAGATTTTTTTGTTTTGTTTTGTTTGTTTTTTTTGTTTTTTTAGAACAAGGCCAAAGTCTGATTTATGTCCGTACAGTCCATAGGGCCCTGCACAGGATTGACACTTAATACATATTTGCTACAAATGTTAATGTTGAAATATGAGTTGTGAAATGTCTGTTAAAAACAACAAAATTATACTAAAGCATCATTCCGCAAGGGCAGCTTTCAGTACAAACCGAGCAGGTGCCTTTTTTGTTTTAATACAATATTTCTTTAATAAAAATGTCTCCATTAAATATATTACTATTGATAGAGTACTTGACCAATAGAAATGACCCTAAATGAATGGTATACATATATGATCTTGAGCAGAAGTCATTTTTTAAAAGTGGCCAATGTAATATGTCCTCGATTAAACTTCCTGACTCTCTTGCATCTTTATTTCTAGCAAATGTATCTCTGTGTTTCAAGGCACAAATAACTTTCTTTGTAGGATGTGTTGTTCCATATTTAATTACCCTCCCCCTTAACTCAGATGTTAAAAGCTATATTTCTTAAAAGGATAGAGACCATTTAAGAACTAATTAAAATCTTTTCTTGTGGTGAAGGGAATCCTAATTCTTGATTCTAGTCCTGTCTCTTGCTGCTCACCAGCAATGTGTCTCTAAAGTTAGTTACCCTTTGGAAGGAGGGAAATCAACCTGTATTGAGCATCAGTTATGTGGTAGATGTTTTCATAAATAGGAATTTCATCTTTATAATGTCTTTAAAAGGTAAGTGTCATTTATATAAATGAAAAACAGAAAAACATTGTTCTGAGAAATACACAGCAAGGAAAAGATCTGGGAAGAGGTTAGTCAAATGTGCCTGACTTTCTAAGTCACAATTTTCCCATTATTACTACATGGCTTCTTGGGGCCTCATTATCATGATCTGTAAAATGAGGGTTCCTTGGGATTATCTTTTTAGAGGTTTTACCCATCAACAGATCTAAACATTGAATCTAGTAGAACTTTAAAGTGCTTCATCTAAGTTGCCAGAATCCCCATCAAGATAATACATTGGAGTTGCCAGGATCATCTTACTTTTTAGATTCCTTCTAAGCTTTCAAAATCACTAACATTAAATTTGTCAGAGGTCTTTGCCTTGTTTACTGCTTTTAGGTAAAGTGAGCAAATAAGCTTGAGTGATAATTTACTGGTAATTTGCCTAACTAATCTGTATAGTATTTCTAATCTGGAAGAAATTACATTTGAACCAATTCAGATTTTCTGATTCTTCCTACATTAATAGGGAAAAATCAGCCTAAAATGTGTAAGTTATGTTTTGTTTTGAAGATCAAAGGAGAAATAGTACCTTAAATCAGAAAAAAGGAAGGATAGTTGTAATGATGCTTTTCTTCCTGTTGTGTCTTACTTGTCTATAAAAATAAACATCTTTCCTTATCACCTGTTCCCAGTTCACACCAATGGTGACAATACAGTGGAGCATTTTAGTCTTTTATTAAACAAATATTTTCTGGTTTTACACTGTGTATAATAGCTGTCTAATGTATCCAGTTATCTGTTTATTATGTGTCTAAGCAAACATACTGTTTTTGCTGTTCTCATGTCTTCTTGGATGTGGTAGGTAATTCGGAGACTCTTACTGAAGTTCTTGATCAAAATACAACCCTTTCTGCATATATCTCCTGGCTTTTCAAGATATGTCACTTTTATATTAGAATACTGCATTGTAATGGAGCCCAACATAGGACCTGGCACTTGGTGTTTGGTAGATATTAGATGAATGAATGAATGGATGGATGGATGGATGGATGGATGAATGCAAGTTGCTGCAGATCTCTTGGTGATTATATGCATAAGTAGACATATAATTCCTCATTCAATCCAGGCACTTTGAGAGTGGGAAACCATGCTATTAGAATTTTTCTGGAACTGATCTGGTCCACCTGGGATGTGTGATCTCTCTGTTGGTGACATTGTTGTTGGTAATTGAAGTCATGGCCCAGGATAAGACAGCTGAGAGTTGCTTCTGCTGAGGAATGTGTAGTGCAGTCTTCTTCAGGCAGCAGAACTATCTTACAGCATCTTATTTTTTTTCCACTTATTTTCTTATTCCCTGCCTTCCTTAAGAAATTGTTTAATTGATTTAAGTAAACAATACATGCAGTAGAATCATGACTGAAAAGCATTAATGATAAAGTGAGCAGACGTATCTGCCTGAGATTTCATGTAGTTGACTCAGTGTAAAGCTGAAAACAGAGAATGTCATTTACTGCATGATTTTTTTGACTTATGGAGCATAGTTGAAAGTTCCTGGAGATAGAGATTGTCACTTGATCACTCACTAACTTCAGAGAACAATGATTGTTTCCCCTTTTTATTTCAATAACATTAAATTACCTAGTCAAATATCTAGTAGTCAGCTGGGTCTGGAGCTCCAGGATTGGGTCAGGGCTGTAGATACAGATTTAGGAATGTTTGGCAAACATATAACTTACTTTTAAAGAGGATGGCCTTAACCATCTGCAAAACTCTTAGCCTACACTTCTCTTAGGTAGATGTTTCATATGATTTCCCTAGTTAATTCTCAATCTTTGATGTCATCTCTTACCAAGTATCTAACTAGAGAGCTGATGTCTGAGGACACTTCTGTGTATAGTGTGGAAGACTGCAGATAATAATACTAACTTGGATTTGTTGAGTGCTTACTATGTGACAAATAATGTTTTGATTGCTCATTTTATCTTCATAAGGACCCCGAGAGGTAGTTAACTATTGTTTTTCCCATTTTATAGATGAGAAAATTGAGGTGCTAAATAGTTAAATTATTTGCCCAGTGTTATTCATTTAGTAAATGAGGAGGCTGTATTCATAGGCAGGTAATCTGAAATCAGTCTGCACACTTAAATTTCTCATAGATAATTATTCTAATTATCAGTGGTAGGAGGATCATCTCTAAAATAACAATTCTTTATCAATTTAAAGAGGTTCATATCTTATAAACCCTTCTGTTTATATAGATCATTGTTATCAAACTATTTCTATTAACCTCTAGTCTCCTTAAGTTTGCTCTTCTAAAGAACATTGGTTACTTGGATACAAATAAGTAGATTGCACCATTGCAAACCTACTCTACCATCTTTACCAGAAACTCAAACTTGATCTTAGAGCTCAAGGCTCAAATATCTGGTTGTCTTCATAAAGTCTTTACTTATTTCATAGGAATGTCAAATGCAAATGAGACCCAATTACTGAATTATTCCCAAATCTGCCTCTTCTCCAGACTTTCTTATCACAGTAAATTAACTAATTAACTACCCAATCTTCATAAGGACCCCGAGAGGTAGTTTACTATTGTTTTTCCCATTTTATAGATGAGAAAATTGAGATGCTAAATAGTTAAATTATTTGCCCAGTGTTATTCATTTAAAGAAAGGCCAAGGAATTTCCTGATTTATTCATATTTGGATTTAGTTTTATAAATTATGTTTTGAAAGGGGACAACAGACTTTTGCTTTGTAAATGAGCCAGTAATTGCTACAGATGACAGCTTTTGTCATTTAGAATCAATGTGATTGTACATTTTGCTTGTGATTGCTGAAATGGACATTTTAAAAAATTTTTGGTAATATTTAATGTTTTATAGTATCTTCCTCAAATCACGTTGCTTTATCTATGCTGAATTCATTTTCAAAATGACAAAGTAGGGGAACACTTTGGATCTTTCCTTTAAACCTGAATAACCCAGGGTTTGGTTTGTTTTCCTTTTTCACATGAAAATTAGGCCTGTAGGCAGCCTTGCACAGTAGATGTTGTAGAGCAGTGATTTTACATGT